TCTTGCTTGATTCATGTTACCAAACATAGAAAAGATATTTAACCTACAGTACTGTAATGTCAAACATTTTACATTGTTATAATTTTTTAGAGGGCAGGTTGGCAAGATAAAGTACCCCAAATGCCACTTTTAGCTGAGTTTTCTGTTTTTATAATTGTTTTAATTTGTTCTTTTTATTTATTTATTTATTTATTTTTAATATTTATTTTTTAGTTCTCGGCGGACACAACATCTTTGTTTGTATGTGGTGCTGAGGATCGAACCCGGGCCGCACGCATGCCAGGCGAGCGTGCTACCGCTTGAGCCACATCCCCAGCCCCTAATTTGTTCTTTTTAGTTATACATGACAGTAGAATGTATCTTGACATGTTACTCACATATGAAGTATAACTTCCATAATTGTGGTTGTACATGATGTGGAGTTACACTGGTCATATATTCATATAACAACATAAGCAAGTTATGTCTGAGTCATTTTATTCTTTTCTATTTCCATCCCCCCTCCCTTCCCCTCATTCCCCTTCGTCTAATCCAATGAACTTCTGTTTTTCCCTACCCGCCCCGCCATTGTGTGTTAGCATCCACATATCAGAGAGAACACTCAGCCTTTAGTTTTTGGGGAGTGGCTTGTTTCACTTGTAGTATGATAGTCTCCAGTTCTGTACATTTACTGGCAAATGCCATACTTTCATTCTTTTTCTTTTTTAATTTTTTAAAATTTTAATTTGTTATATATGACAACAGAATGCATTGCAATTCATATTATACGTATAGAGCACGATTTTTTATATCTCTGGTTGTATACAAAGTAGAGTCGCATCCTTCGTGTCTTCATGCATGTACTTAGAGTAATTATGACCATTGCATTCCACTGTCTTTTCTACTCCTATGCCCCCTCCCTTCCCCTCCCTACTCTTTTCCTCTTTCTAGAGTTCATTTAATCTTCCCATCCCCATCCCAGCATATTATGGATCAGCATCCTTAAATCAGAGAAATCATTCAGCACTTTATGGCTAAGTAATATTCCATTGTGTATATATACCACGTTTTCTCTATCCATTCGTCTGTTGAAGCGCACCTAGGTTGGTTCTATAGCTTAGCTATTGTGAATTGAGCTGCTATAAACATTGATGTGGCCACATCATTATAGTATGTTGATTTTAAGTCCTTTGGTATATATCGAGGAGTAGGAAAACTGGGTCAAATGGTGGTTCCATTCCAAGTTTTCTGAGGAATCTCCATATTGCTTTCCAGAGTGGATGCACCAGTTTGCAATTCCCACCAGCAATGTATGATTATACCTTTTCCCCATATACACACCAACATTTATTGTTCTCGATAATTCTGATTAAATTGAGATGAAATCTCAGTGTAGTTTTAATTTGCATTTCTCTAATTGCTAGAGATGTTGTTGTTGTTGTTATATAACCTTTAAAAATGTTTTCATTTACATAAAATGTAGAAGCATTTAACTGTTTAACACTGTTAGGTACAAAGTATGAGATAAAGAGTCCATCTAAATCCTTTGAAGTTTCCAGGTTCAAAACTAGGAACCCTCAGGTCTAGGGAGAAACTAGAGGGAAGGACTGAAGCAGGAGAGGAAACGAATCTGTCACTGGGGCTAGAAGGAGAACAGGATGAAGCTGGCATAAATTCATGGACACAACCCAGTCCTGGCTCAAGACCAGGTATGCTCAGAATCACTAGTTTGAGGGCATCTTTGTAGTAGGGCAGCTCTTAGTTTTACACCCCCAATGACAATGTATTTTTAATGTCATAGGAGTTTGTAGATAAACTTTTTATTAAATATATATGACTTCTTCAAGACTCCTCTTGTATCCAGAAAAGCTTCAGAAATACAAAAGAATTTTGATGTCTTTTCTGGGTCTGTTTCAATAAGCACATGCTGTGCCCAGAACTATGTGTCTAACTACAAGAAACATGTTGCTAGAGATGTTGATGTTGTTGTTATATAACCTTTAAAAATGTTAAAAAGTAATAACATTTTATGTTAAAAATATGCAAAAGACCTAGTCTCTGGGCTTAATAAAATCATGCACTCTTGTATATAGGATATTCTGGAAACAACATTATAAGCAATACATGATTATTTAGACTATGGAAATTTAAAGGAGGAAGAGTTATGGCAGTAACACTGCCATAATTGGAATGCTTTTCAGAGAACATGGGAATGGAGTTAGGCCTTGAAGATGGGTAATATTTGAATAAGAAGCATAATTAAAGACCTAAAGGTAAGAACTTGCTAGATGTAAAAAGGTTAATGAGGAGACTGGCCAGCTAAAGTGGGAAAAGGAAAGTGGGTTGTATACAACAGGCCCCAGTTGTCTATGGGGTGGGGGGTACACCCTGAGATCCCCAGTGGATGCCTGAACCACAGGTAGTATTGAACACTATGTATACTATGTCTTTTCCTATATATATACACCTATGATAAAGTTTAATTTATAAATTAGGCACAGTAAGGGTTGGGGTTGTGGCTCAATGGTAGAGCACTTGCCTTGCACACGTGAGACATTGGGTTTAATCCTCAGCACCACATATAAATAAATAAAGATATTGTGTCCATCTACAATTTTTTTAAAAATTAATAAATAAATAATTAGGCATAATAAGAGTTTAACACCAATGATAAAAATCATAATTTTAACAGTATATTGACATAAAAGTTATGTGAATATGATCTTTCTTTCTTGAAAGAATCAAGAGAAATAGTAATATTTTAGAGCACATTTGACTATAGGAACCGAAACCATAGATAAAGGGGACTATTGTACTGGGAACTCAGGAATGCTATTCACATAGTCTGTGCAGGTGAATTTGGTGGCAAAGTAAGTACTGGAAAAGCGGAAAATGACTGAAAAAGTAGAAGTACTGGAATGAGAAGCTTAAACTTCATCCTATAAGAAGCAGGGACTTGTGGGAGTTTTTTTGAGAAAAAAAGATAATTGATAGTAAAATAACTGAATATTCAGGTATTGGAGCTAGATAAACAGTTTGATTTCCAACAATACTCCTTTATTAACTGCATGATATGGAGAAAATTAGTTTATTAAGCCTCAATTTTATTATCTGTAAAGTGGACATAACACTATTTTCTTTCCAGAATTATTGTGAGGATTGAGACAACATATGTAGTGCTTAGTAAGTGTTCAGTAGATGGTATTTTATGATGATATGTGTTTAGGAAATTTTAAATATCATTAGTATATAAGATGAATTGGAGAAAGAAAGATTGGTACCTGATTTTGATTTTAAGTATTTTTTTAATTGTAATTGTAAAACCAGTTAGTTATTACATTATTCAGTGTCCTGAGTTACCTGTCCTCTGATATTGGGATACATTTTAATATTGCTGTGGCCCAGGCAATATGGAGGCACAGTTGTCACTCCTGCACATACATGACTGTTATATCTGGTCACATACTGCAACACCTTACCTTTTTAGTCAGCAAATCATTTAGTACCATCTGAGAAAGGAATGTGAGTCTTGGTTGTGATATGATAACCTTCCCAATGACAATTTCTGCAACGATCAAGAAGTACCTCTTACTTGTGGTGACTTGGGAAAACAAAATCTGAGATAATCTTAGAGAACTTTTAAAGAAATACAGTAATGTCCATGCTATTGATGGCACAGAAAACAATATTGCACGAAAAAACACAGACAACAATGACTAAAGTAAGAAAACTTACTAAAGTAAATTTTTCTTTCATCCTCTTAGTTATAGACCTATTTGAAGGATCCTTTAACTCCAGAAGGATTGAGACAACATATGTAGTGCTTATGTTATGGACCACACAGCCAATAATATTTACTTTTCCAGGTACTTGGGATAGAGTATGGAAATCTTTCTTTTTTAATCCTCATAATGAGGTATCAATAGGGAAGTATATCCTGACTCAGAGTCCTGTTTACTTAGCAAAAAACCAAGGACTGAAACGTTATCAGAACTTCTGGGAAAATCTCATTTTCTCTTTATTTTATATCCTAAGATAATATCTTGAGGCTTGAAAGCAAGTTCATTTTTTCTCCCATCTTGTCACATTTCCACAATTCCTTTGCTTCTTTATTATCCCCAGAGTTGTCCCCCAGCCAGTCCCCTGGGTATTCTTCTAAGTGAATGAACCAATCACTGGTGGTTGTAAGATCCAGTGTCTGTCTCCCCTTCTGTTGGTGTACATGTATGTACATTGTGCTGTTGCAAGATTCTCTGTCCTTTGAGAGATGTTTCATTGGCAATGGTGAGGAATGGAGTCAAAGACCAATGCTAATTCAGACTGGGGCTAGAGCTAGATGGTTTTGAAGTTCACCTTGCTCACCAGTATAAAACAGAGTAACAAAAGGGAGGAGGGTTGACCACTGGGGCTCTCTCTAGTCCTAAGCTTTATTGGTAATGGCATTTTTGACACTCTGCTATAATATATGCCTCTGTTTTTTTTGTTTGTTTCCTGATTCTCTTCAGTCCAACCTCTTGTGCCCTTGAGTCTCCTGTGTGGTAATCTGGTTTTGCAGGAAAATAGCAGCAGTTTCTTAGCAGGTTACTTAGAGTTTTAGAAACATAAGTCTTCAAAGATCTTGAAAGTGATTTTTCAATTAACTCTACAGGTAGGTGTTTATCAACTGGCCTGAGAAATGCAGAATAATGAATACCATTCCTGTTAGATCTGGAACAGGTGATGGGCCTGTGTTGACTGCAAAAACATAATTTTTTTTCTGAGAAGCAGTCTTTTTGTAAAACTTTTCCCACTGGTTCCTTTCCACTGTTGTTACCTGTAATTTCATCATCTTTCATTTAATTCTGTTTAGTATGATGTCTTTGGGGCCAGCGAGTATTTTTACCTGCTAGTTGTAGGCGTGTTTGTTTCTAGGGCTCTGAAGTAGCTTGGGGAAGTCTGCTTCACCCACTTGCTTGTTGCTTGGCACAAGTCCTCTGTGGTTGTTGGGCATCTTGTTTACTTCTGCTGTTAATTCCCTACAGGTGCGAAAGTACAAGAGCATGATCCTGGAAGACTTGGAGTCTGCTCTGGCAGAACACGCCCCTGCACCACAGGAGGTTAACTCAGAACTGCCGCCTCTCACCATCGATGGGATCCCAGTCTCTGTGGACAAAATGACCCAGGTAAGGGGCGGGAAGTGAAGAGGAGATGCAAAGGCAAGAGGCACTCATGTGGGCGGGCCTCTGATCACTTTTCCTTGGTGATTCAGAGACTGGAGTGTGATGGTGAGGCAGTATCAGCCTTGGAGAAGACATGGTAGTGCCAGAAGTATGCTCCCAAACAAGGGCATCATTTGCTCTCCTCCTTTTGTTGGCAGTTCTCTTCTTTCACTGGGACCTTTAGGTTGATAAAGAAACTTAGCTTGGGGCTGGGGATATAGCCCAGTTGGTAGAGTGCTTGCCTCACATGCACAAGGCCCTGGGTTCAATCCCCAGCACCACACACACACAAAAAAAAACTTAGCTTGGAGTTGGTTTGAACAGGTGAATGTGAGATTGTTCAGAGTGTGATCACAATCAGTTGGGACAAGTTTAGTCTCAAGCTGAGCTTCTTTCCGTGAAAATTCTGAATACCACCACATTATTGCCAAGTAAAGCTCCCTCCCCAGAGAATAAGAACACAAAACTTCCAGGCAGAGTGTCATACACTTGTAATCCCTGCTACTCAGGAGGCTGAGGCAGGAGAATTGTAAAGTTTAAGGCCAGCCTGGGCAACTTAGGGAGATTCTGTCTCAAAATGGAAAGGGCTAGAGATGTAGTTCAGTTTAGTGGTAGAACACTTGAGGCCTTTGTTTCAAACCCTAAGGATTGCGGTTCAATCCTCAATACCATATTAAAATAAACAATATTGCCAAAAACAAACAAAAAAACCCCACAAAACTCGGAAGGACACCTACCGGACTCACTCATTCTTTCCCTCTTCCTCTGAGACATCAGTATACCTCATTAACTTTGTCGAAGGCTATCCCTTTTGTGGTTTTCTAGTTTTAAAAGTGATAGGTTAAGATCAACATTTTTTATAACATTTTCCAGTCTATTTATTAATGTATTTCTGTCTTGCTAAATCTAGTCTTCAGTTTTCTTTCTTTGACTGAGTCTCCAGCAGTATTTAACTGAGTTGATTTCACCTTCCTTCTTAAGTAGCTGCTTCTCTCAGTCTCTGTGACTCCTCACTCTCCTGAATATCCTCCTGCCTTACTGGCTGCTACCTACCAGCTCTTTTGCTGGCTCTTCTCCTCTTCTCTCCTGATCACTGTTTTTGTGTCCCAGAGCTAAAGCCTGTGTATACTCTAGTTTATGATCACTGAAATGTCTAGCACCTAACATGCTCAGAACAGGACCTTTGGTTGCCCTCACTCCACTCCGAACCTGTTCCTTCCCTATGTTACCTCTATCAGTTAATAACACCACCATCCATCTGGTTGTTAAAGTCCCAGGGTAAGAATAATCCTTTGAGCTGAGGTGGTAAAACACATGTGAGGCAACAGGTTCAATCCTCAGCACCATATTAAAATAAACAAATAAAGATATTGTGTGTCCATTTATTAAAAATAAAAAAAGAATAATCCTTATTTTCCTGTTCTACTTTCTACCCCTACCCCATTAATTTATTGGTAAATGTCAATTCACTTTTCTCTTTTTTTCTTTCTTTTTTTTTTGTATTACAGATTGAACCCAGAGGTTCTTTATCACTGAGCTACATCCCCAGTTATTTTAAATTTTTATTTTAAGGCAAGATCTCACTAAGTTGGTTAGGGCCTTGCTAAATTGCTGAAGCTGGCCTCAAATTTGTGATCCTCTTGCCTTAGCCTCCCAAGCTGCTGGAATTTCAGGCATGTATCACCATGCCCAGCTCAGTTCATTTCTGAATCACATCCCAAATCTGATTGTTTTTCTCAGTTCCCATCGGCACCCAGGCCAAGCCGTTAGCATCCCTCATGTCAGCTTTTTCAGTTGTCACTGATCCTCCCTACTGCTACCTTTGTTCTGCAATTCATTCTTATGTAGCCAACATAGAGATTTTATTTTTAAACTTACTTGTTTCAGTCCTTTAGTGGCTTTCCACTGTTCCTAGAATCAAATTCAAAGGTTTGAAGGCCCTTTTTAATCTTACCTTTTCCAAATTGTCCTTATCCCCTCAGTCAAGCCTGCAGCCACAGTGGCTGTCTTCCTCATATACCCCAAAGCCATACTTTTGCTTTTGCTCCTCCCTTTGCCTGAAGCATTGTCCTCCTAGATCACTGCAGGATTGGCTTTTCCTTATGCAAATCCCTGAGACAACATTCCTTGATTATCCCATATAATCAAAGTTTCTCCTCCCTCCCACCCTCCAAGTTACTGGCAAATACATTCCTGGTAGTGTTGTCTTGGTAGCACTTGCACTGCCCAAAATATCTTATTCATGAATTTTCACACTAGTTTGTGGTCTGTCTCTCCAGCTAAAATTTGAGAGTGAGGACTTAAAGTTCTTGTTCTTTATTGCTCTTTATTACAGCTGCCCAGCACCTTAAATAACACACCATCTAAACACTAGTATCTATTTAGTAAATGACCTAAGGATCAGAGCAAAAATGTATTCAGTGCAGTGACAGGTGAGACCCCTGAGTAGAAGTGTACATTCAGTACAGACGCTGATGATGTTGCTCACAAAATGACACTTTGCTTCCTTAGGTTTGAAACAGCAACACTGAAGTAATACCACATTTTATAAAAATGAAGCTAAATTGTATTTTTGATTGTTGGGTTTATAGACCTTTCTATGGACACTTGAAGGATCTCTAAATAATGGTTTGGTTTTGTTTTTTTAAACTGTCCTTTCGTTGGTTGTTATTACTCTATCCTAGGGCCACTCTGATAGGTTAAAGTAAAGAACACCAAAGGCAAATTTTTTTGCCTGATGTGAAGAATCAACTCTGTACCTCAGATGTAAATTTAGCTAACTTTAAAGCTGACTGAGCCTCTGCTTTAGAATACTGTTAGGTAGACTGTTTCCTCTGAGGGGTGCTTTTTTCTGTCATGGTTATATTTGATGTTTAAAGTTGAAGAAGTCCAAAGTTTTGATTATACTAAATCATCAGATACTGATTTTTATGAAAACTGGTTGATGACCACAGAAGACAGAACATTCAGTTTAGTTATCATTTTGGAGGTAAAACATTGGAGTCTTGGTTGCTTTCCATTTCTGTGAACTGCACTCAGTAGAGTATGGTGCTCTGGTGGATCTAAGGGGCTCTGGTATTTGGTGTCATCAGTCACAACAGAGGGACACTGTTGGAGGTTTCTTGTCATCATACATTCATTTTCCTTTCTCTTCTCACCGTATGTGATGACTAAGAAATGAAACAAACAGTGAGGAGGAGTGAGCAGAAAAAATTTAAAAACCAGCCTGAAATTTTCCTCTTCAACCTTTGTTATCATTGTTTGCTTTGTTTTCCTAAAATACTTCTTAACCTAAGCTAAATACCTCTCTATTCTAATTGATCCTAAAGCTTTTTACTATCAATAGAGTGAACCTAGACAGGCAAGGGTATGGGGAAGTAAGTGCTTCGTTACACTGTTGATAGAATTGTAAACAGGTACACTTTCTAGAGGGCAGGTTGGCATTGCATAGCAAACTTTAAAATGTGCATGTTGTGCCCTCCAATTAAGCAAGATGCTTGGTGTCTGTTTTTCCACAGCAATTATTTACAATAGGGAAATCTAGGAGCAATGTGTTTAGTTTAATTATAATAGTGGTGTTCAGTATTTACATGGAAGGAAGAACAATACAGCTCAAAAAAGACTAGAGGTTTACTATTCACCAAATTATTAGATACTGAAAATGATAATTTGCTTTCTGTTACAGTAGAATAATACTTGTAGTACCTTATGTTAACAAACTGGCTATAAAATAGCATTTTTTACATACTGCAATTTTAGAGGGTTAAGACTCTTTTTATTTCTTTTGAATGGCTAGATTTTTTTTTTCTTTTTCTTTTTTTGTACCAGGGATTGAACTCAGGGGCACTCAACCACTGAGCCACACCCCCAGCCCTACTTTGTATTTATTTAGAGACAGGGTCTCACTGAGTTCTTAGTACCTCACTTTTGCTGAGGCTGGCTTTGAACTCTTGATCCTCCTGCCTCAGCCTCCCAAGCTGCTGGGATTACAGGTGTGCACCACTGCGCCCAGCTAGATTTTTTTTTTTTTTAAGCTCAGGGTACCCAGAATTAAACTAATTAATTTCATTTTCTAAAATATGTACATAAAATGTATTCAGGTGGGTGTATGTGTTAAACTTTTGAAGAGATATACACCAAAATATTTATAGTGATTTATACTTGGTGGTGTTATGGATGATTTTCCCTTTCTTTAGTGAGCATAAATTACTTTTATAATCACAGAAATGCAAAACAGTATTTTAATATTTTATATTAAACTTGCATTTTGGGGGCAGGTACCCACGATTGAACTCTGGAGCATTCGACCACTGAGCCATACCCCAGGCCTATTTTGTATTTTATTTAGAGACAGGGTCTCACTGAGTTGCCTAGTGTCTCACCATTGCTGAGGCTGGCTTTGAACTTTCGATCCTCCTGCCTCAGCCTGCCCAGCCACTGAGATTACAGGCAGTAGCTAAACTTGTATTTTTTTTTTAAGTATAAGTTTGATGATGTTTCTGGTTTTTTTTACCGAAAGATTACTTTTTTTTTAATATTAGGGTAAAAATGCCAACATCTCTTTTTCCCACCTTGCTTTTCTCTTAAATAGCTGCCGTATGTTTGAAGGCACATTCCTCAATTCTTTACTGGGCATATAATTTAATCTACCCTCCAGGGGATATTTATGTGTGTATGGTGTGTGTGTGTGTGTGTGTGTGTATGTATGTATGTATGTATGTGTATGTGTTCGTTCGTTGATTCAAGGAAGTAGAACTCAGTTATGAGCTATACCCAGAAAGAACAAAATAACTATAACTAGACCTAATTCTAGATTTCAGACCATTTTGGTAATTCATGATTTCCTTAACGTGATCAAATCCTAGAATTGTCAAACTGGACTGTAATAGAGGTAGACTTGGTTTAACCAGACATCTCTGTTAATTTTCTTATCTGCACTTAATGCTATGGGGATGACTGATGTT